TTTTTTGGAAGCTTAAGGTCTTACACTTAGTTATTTAATTCATTTTGAGTTAATTTTTGCATATAGTATAGGATAAGGACCCAACTTCATTTCTTTGCATGTGAGTATCCAGTTTTCCAAACACCATTTGAAGAGGCTATCCTATTCCTATTATGTAATCCTGACACCTTGTTGAAAAACATTTGTTCATATATGCCAGGGATTATTTCTATGCTCTCTATTCTTTTCCATTGATCTACATTTCTATCTTTATTCCAGTGAAATGCCATTTTAATTACTCTTGCTTTGCTGTACATTTTTAGGTCAGGAAATGTGAAACATCCAACTGTGTGCTTCTTCAAGATTCTTTTAGCTATTCAGAATGCCTTTAGGTTTTCCATGAATTTTCATTTCTTTTTCTCTTTCTATATAAAATGTCATTGAAATTTTGATAGAGATTGCACTGAATATGTAGATGGCTTTGGATAGTATGGATATTTAAATCACATTAAGTCTTCTGACTAAGCATGAAATTTTTATTTGTGTTTCATTTCATTCATCAATATTTCATAGTTTTCAGTGTATAAATCTTTCATTTCCTTGGTTAAGTTTATTCTTAAATATTTTATTTTCTATGCTGTAGTAAGTGTGGTTAGCTTAATTACATTTTGGACTGTTCATTGTTAGTGCGTGAAAATTCAACTTTTAAAAAATTTGTTTCCTTGTTGTTTTTGTTTTTGAGATATAGTCTCATTCTGTTACCCAGGCTGGAGTGCAGTGGCATGATCATTGCTCACTGCTCACTGTAGCCTAAAACTTGTAACCTCAAACACCTGGGTTCAAGAGGATATACAAGATATAAAACAATCAAGATATATCTTGTATTTCCTTTATATCTTTCTGGCATATTGACCCTTTTAACTTTGTATAATATTCTTTGTCTTTCAGTATAGCTTTTGTCTTAAAAACCATTTTGTCTGATATAAGCATAAGCATCCTTTGTTATTGTAGGCTCCTATTTGCATGAAATAGCTTTTTCCTCCTTTTATTTCTAGACTATATGTGCTTTTCAATAAAAATTGAATCTCTTGTAGTTTCATCTTTTTATAAAAACCACTCAACCACTCTATGTCATTGTGTGTTCACTCCATTTACATTTAATTACTGATAGAAAAAGACTTATTCTTGCTATTTTGCTGATTATTTTCTTCCTCTTCTATAATTTTCTTTTTATCTTTTGATGTCTTCCTTTGTGTTTTTAATAATTTTGCAATGACATAGTTTTATTTCCTGCTCATTTCCATTTGTTTTTATTCTATATTGTCATGAGTATTATCATTATGAGTACATGAAAATCTTAAAGTTTTAATAATCTATTTTAAATAGATATGAAATAAATATTAGAACTTAACTTCAATTGCGTATAAAAACTTTTTTATATCTCTGCCTGTTCTCATTTTATGTTACTAATTACACTAAGTACATCTTTTGTATATAGATTAACAGATAATTCTAATTACTTTTTATGCTATTTTAAAAATTCTGTACTGTATCATTTACTCACATATATTACAATACCCCCAGTTTCTATATTGTCTACATAGTTACCTTGATCAGAAAATTTAATATTTTATAGTGGTTCTCTGTTGCTGCTTATCATTCTTTTGCTTCAACTTGTAGGATTCCCTTCAGAATTTCTTGCTGGATAGGTCTAGTATTGACAAACTCCCATAATTTTTGTTGTCTTAGAAAATCTTGAATTTTCTTATGAGTTTTGTTGAATATAGTATTGTTGGTTGGCAGGTTTTTTTCCACCCCCAGGACTTTGAATATATCATCCCATTCCCTTCTGGCCCACAAGGTTACTTCTGAGAAAGCTGTTGGTAATCTATGAAGAACTTCCTTGTACTAAATGAGTGGTTTTTTGCTGCTGGTTTTAAGATTCTCTGTGTGTGTGTGACTTTTGACAGTTTGATTATACTGTATAGAGTTTTTTTAGATTTACCTTATTTGGAATTATTTGAGCTTCTAAAGTGTTTAAGTTCCTTTATCTCCTCAGATTTAAAAACTTGGTGGCCATAATTTGTGTTATCAGGCCTTTCTCATTTACTTGTTTTCTGGTATTCCCGTAATGCATATGTTGCCCTGCTGGATGTTGTTCCATAATTTCTTTTAGGCTCTTCATTTTTCTTCTTTTCTTTTTGCTCCTGTAGCTCTCTTTCTCTCTATATATAACTCAATATGTATATATATTCACTCACTGTTTCTTAAGCATTTATGTGACAGGCACTGTCCTAATCACTGGGGACAGAGCAATGAACAAAACAAACAAAAGTCTATGACTTGATGAAGCTAATATTCTGCTGTGGCAATATAAAATAGACACATAAAGAAAGAAATGTATTGTGAGCAGAAAGGAGTTCAATTTTAAAGAGTGTGGTTGAGGAAGGCCTCACTGTGAAGGTTCCATTGAGCAAAACTTTTAAGGGTATGCAGGAATGAGTGATAGAAATACGACTAAGGGGAAGAACATTTTATGTCAAGTGAAAAGCAAGAACAAAATCCTGGAGCAATATAATGTAATGGAATGCTCAATATACAGCAAGAAGGTCTAATGTAGCTGGAGAGGAATGACCAAGGACAAGAGTAACAAAATACAAGATTAGAAATATAAAGAGGAATATTTGTGGGGAGGTGTAAATAAGAGGATAAGTTGTTCATGGTCTCGTAGGTCATTGGAAAAACTTGATATTACTATAAGTCACAAGGGAAGACAGAGGGGCAGCATAGTCTATTTCTGATTTATAAAGGACTTCTTTAGCTACTTTGTTGAGAAAAGACTGTTAGGCAGACGTGCACAGAGGCAGAAAAATGCCTCAGAAGGCTATAGTAATAATTGAAGCTAGGTGTGGTGGTAGAAACCACTGGGAATATAGGAGGAAATTAGAAGGGGTCATTCAGTCAGTTCAGGCTGACAGAATAGCACAGACTTGGTGACTTAAACAACAGATATTTATTTCTCACATTTCTGGAGGCTGATAATTTTTATATCAGTGTGCTGGCATGATTGAGTTCTGATGAGGGCCATATCCTTGTTGTGTCCTGTCTTGGGAGAGAGGGAGTGAGTGAGGGAGGCCGGGGGAGGCGGGGGGGGGGGGGGGGGGGGGGGGGGGGAGAGAGAGAGAGAGAGGGAGAAATAGAGGAAATCCCTAATTTCTCATCTTATAAGGGCACTAATCCTATCAAGAGGGCTCCATTCTCGTGACCTAATTACCCCCAAAAGATCCCATCACCAAATATCAACACATTGGAAATTAGAGTTTCTACATATAAATTTGAGGCAGGAGATCTAAACATGTAATATATAACAGGGTAATATGAATAGTAGAGAGCCCAAATAAATTTGTTTTTGGATGTAAATGTGCACTGTAAGAGAAATGATGAATTAATACATTTTATTAGCATGAAATTATCAAATAAAACATCTATAACCACTGCATCTTACACTGAATATCAGTTACTTTTGTTGGTCATAGAATTTGTTTGTTTGTTTGTTTTTGCCTCTGCAAAGTTCTATTTTTCAGCTGGCTTCCTGGAAATGCTACCTTTGAGAATATACTGCCACTCTCCTCCCAGTTAGCCAATGTTATTCACGTGAAAATAAAGAATAGCTCATCACTGTGGTCATCTGAGAACATTATCTGGCTTTCTATAAATCAGTTAATAAGACTGATTTAAAAATAACAACCTTAAGTGTAAATAACAAAATTAACTGTAATGCTTTAATGTTTTGATATTATAACCAAATTAGAAATGATGCTTTATCCATGTAGTGATAATAACATTAAAATGGCTGAGTAGTATTACCTGGTAAAAGGGAAAACTGAGTATGGTTTTTAAGATACAAATAATGATTTTAAATAAAGAAGAAAAGCTGTTACAATTTCATGTGCCTATTGACGTTATATAGTTTTTTTAATTAACATTTTCCCCCTTTTCTTCTGCTTTTTCTTAGATGTTCTTGGCAGCTCTGTCACTCAGCTTTATTGCTAGGACACTAGGTGCTGTTGTTATGAAAAGTGCCATCATTCACATAGAAAGGAGATTTGACATATCCTCTTCTCTTGTTGGTTTAATTGATGGAAGCTTTGAAATTGGTAACATTTTTTTTCTATTTTAATAACCATACTTGCAAAGTTAAAAAAATATATATATGCTTTACATCACTGGTTATGAACTGGGATATCTTTCACAGGCAATTTGGCAATAACTAAAGACATTTTTTGTTGTTATAACTGGATAGGGGTTGGGGAACGAGAGAGATGCTACTCATATCTAAGGGTAGAGGTCAGGGATACTGCTAAATATTCTATAATGCACAAAGAATGGTGTAGCCAAAAATGTTGATAGTGGGGAAGTTCAGAAATTCTGATTCTACACAAATTCACTGTTTGCAAACTTACATCATGTCATACTTTACCTCACCTCTCACAAGATGAAGAAAGTTTGGGAGAAGATGTTATTTTTAAAGAGAAAGAAATCTTTTCGGAGCAACCTATGTTAGAACTCTATTGTTTGAGCACACAAAGTCTTTTCTTTGAAATATTAAAGATATTTTGGATTTCTCCAATAATAGCTCAGGGAAATAATTTTCTGGTTCATATTTTTGTCATTCCTTGTTCTCTTATTTTCTTCTAGACCATTTATAAGTTGAATATTAAATTTTCTGAGAATTTTTTTCTTTAAATTTTTTTCTTCTAAATTTCTATTGTTTTTCTTTATGTTTCATTAATCTTTGTTGATACCACCATACATCTTATCCTATCAAGTTCTAATTTGTATATTTATCTGTATTTTACATTTACAATAGTACTTTATTATTCCCTTGTTACTTTTAGGCTGCCAGTTCTGATTTTATGGATGCAATGTGCCCTTGTATTTCTAAAGATACTAATTTTTTTTTTTATTTTTATTTTTGAGACAGAGTTTCGCTCTTGTTGTCCAGGAGTGCAATGGCACGATCTTGGCTCACTACAACCTCCGCCTCCTGGGTTCAAGCAATTCTCCTGCCTCAGCCTCCCGAGTAGCTGGGATTACAGGCATGCGCCACCATGCCTGGCTAATTTCTGTAGTTTTTTTTAGTAGAGACGGGATTTCACCATGTTGGCCAGGCTGGTCTCGATCTCCTGACCTTGTGATCCACCTGCCTCAGCCTTCCAAAGTGCTGGGATTACAGGCGTAATTAGGCCGAGCCACCTCACCCCGCCTAAGTTTTTATAAAGTAAAAAATGTACTTATTCATCCTGATGCTTTCCTTCCACACTATTTTTATGCTACTTTTTTCAGAAATGCTCATTAATCCTTAACTGCTATTTGTTCATCTTTATGCATGAGGCTCTAGAAGGATTAGAAGTGGTCATCACTCTTTCCGCTTGATACGCTCTATGTATATTTTTTAATATAAGTGATTTATACATGACATTACATATCAAGTGGTTTCTCCTCCAGGAACCTTTCTGCAAGCTCTTAAGTTTCCTCTTTCTGCGATTTAATAGCACCTCTGTCCCTCTATCTATTTTTACTATTACTATGAAACTTCTTGAAGACAGGTACCATGGTTTCTTATTTTTCATATAACTTTCTTATTTCTGGCTCTGAGCTTCACATCAGGTACATGTTAGAAATTTAAATAATATTAAGAATAAATAAAGAAATACATGAAGGAACACCTTACCATCAGATCAGGAAGATTCATCTCCATTTTTCTTCATTCCAATCTAATCGAGTCAACTCCAAATTTTTCAGTAAAATGTTACTAATATTGCCAAGTAATTCAAGTGCTTTTTGTATTTAAAACAACTTTTCAATGATTAGTTTAACGTAGATGAATTTTCCTTCCTAATTAAATTATATCATCTTTGAGAGAAGGCACTATGTTTTGAACTCTGCATTCATTCTGGGGCTTTCAATTCTAGAAACAAAATTGGACTAACTTGTATCAACATAATTTTGTTCTCTTTCTAGGAAATTTGCTTGTGATTGTATTTGTGAGTTACTTTGGATCCAAACTACACAGACCAAAGTTAATTGGAATCGGTTGTTTCATTATGGGACTTGGAGGTGTTTTGACTGCTTTACCACATTTCTTCATGGGATAGTAAGTGTTAAAAACAAAACAAAACAAAACAAAACAAAAACCTCTGTGCCACTAATTATCAGTAACTTGTAAATTATAAGAAGAATTTTATTTATGCCTTTAAATAGGCATTTGCCTTTTGAGAAGAATACCCACTAAGTATATATAGAAATAGTGTATGCTTGTCTATATAATCACTTTATTTATCATAGCTTTAGACTTTGAAATAACAAAAAGTAGAGTTTCAAATGAAATAAATAGGTTTTTTATGAGTGTTTAGTATTAACATATATACTTCATGTCTTTGCCTATCCAGCAATCATACCATTTACTTATCATATTAATTCTATCCCCTCCCCCATATTTGGCCCATATAAGAAGTTTCTTCTCCGTGGTACTGCTCCGGCTTATTTTCATCATACTGTACTCTGTTGATTCATTTTCTTTCTTTGTGTCTTCATCATCATGTCCATTTTTTCCTCTGCTTTTGGCACCATATTGTCAGTGCCCCCTAATTCCCTTTTTAATCTTCATTTCTTATTCTTCATGATTTGTATGGAAAATAAAACTTTAAAGCAACTATCACAGATTCATCTTCCATTCCACCCTAAAATTAATGACCACAGTCTAGAGCAGCATTTCTCTATCTATGCCATAATATGTGATACCTTTGCACCTGTTATTTCTATAGCCTTGAATACCTTTGTTTGTCCACTGTTCTATTCATCTTCAAGTTTCATTTTAGCTGTCTTCTCTGATCTATCCCTGCAACCTCCAAGCAAAGCTGATCATATCCTTTGTCTTTGTTACAACTCAGGACCTTGTATATTAAACTTATTATATCTTTTATCATGTATATTTATATTATTGTAAAATTTCCTAAGTACAAAATCTGTATGTTTTATTTCTATTTCTTTGAAGCTGAGCATAATGTCTGGTATATAGTAGGCTGCCTTTAGAGCTCACATGATACCTAAGTATTTATGGACAGTAACATCTCTGTTATTCCTATCACGTTTTCTCTCATCAAGTTGAAATGGATTAGATTTTATGTTTACCACATTTTGAAGAGTCAGGCCTTAGAGCATGTGTGTATGTGTCCATGAAAGAAAATCTGACTGCTTGATCATATTTGAAGATAACTTAAAAGGATGAATAGTTATATGCAATTAATAATTATTTTTAAAAAGGTGAAACCAGGATACTTCATAACTTGATCAAAATATAACCACTCCTAGGATAATATCAAGATGATAACTTACCTTGCCTGGGGTGGACTGAGTTACCTTTCTTACTGGACACTCCCATTTCACTGTTACCCATCACATCTCCTACAGCACATGCTGGGAAATTGACAGAAAGGATTCTGGTAATTTGGAGAAGATAATGGTGTAAATAATGGGAAATTTTTATTTGTATTTCTGAGAAAGGTGAAAATACTCAATAGATAAGCAAAATGTTTAATTCAGTGATGTTCCTACAGTTACAGGTATTCTAAAGAAACTAATATCAATTCATCAAAAAATTTAACATCGACCTTAGCCACCTGTTTAATTAATCCAATTTTATCACTCAATAGAACATCACCTGAAATAGTTGGAAAAGGTAAGAATTAATATTGACAGTAAAAGTCGTCTAAAATGTATAGATTTAATTACACTTCTAAAAATTATTGTGATATTTATTAGCAAAATTTAAGAACGAATAGGAAAAACATTTCACTTTCACATACAGACATAGTGTTAATGTATACAGTTGACGCTTTAACAACACAGGTTTAAACTATGCGTTTTCACATCTATGCAAATTTTGTCCATTCAAACTGGCTAATAAACCTGTCTATAGGAATGTCTGACATTTTCTAAATTTGGGTTGCACAGGGCCAATTACAGAACTCAAGTGTGCATGAATTTGAGAACACACAGGCAGTCCTGTAACAAATTCTTTAATATACCAAGGGATAACTCTATTATATATAAAAGCATTTAGAAGTATATCATAAAAGAGAATGTTTTCAGTAGGAAATTGACAAAGAACATATGCATTTAAAGTAAAACAGTAGGCAATGGTACAAATATGTAAATAATGTAACTTTGCTTTCAATGCAAAAGGCAAATGATTATATCATTTGCAGATTTTTGGCCTATCATAACACAAATTGCAAATTGTAATTACAAATTGTACCACTAAAAATTTTTTTAAAACTATTAAATAGAGAAAGACTAAAAATATACGAAAATGAGGTAGAGGCAAAAAAGATTTCACATTTTATATACTGCTGGGAATGTATACATTTGTAGATCTTTCTGGAGCTTCATTATCAATATATATTAAGAATAAAAATATACTTACTTAGTCTGAAATTCTATTATTATTGATTAATCTTAAGGAAATAACCAGGAATCTGCAAAAGGACTTATTTACAGTTATAGCCATATCTTACAGAATAAAACAATAAAAAATTGAAATTAAAAAATAAGAGATAAATACATTTTGAAAATTATTCAACACACTACTGTCCAGTCATTAAAAATTTGATATTAAAGAAATCTTAACAACATGGAACAATTATTATACTATAGCATTAACTGCATATAGCATTTAATAATATGAGCTGGATTTTTAAATATATAATGGACATAATGAATATAATGCACATATTTTGTGCAAATCTGGAAGTATATAAAAACCCTTGAGGTGATCTTCTGTGTGTAATGTGATTACAGGTAAGTTTTACTTGTTTGTGCTTTTCTATATGATATGGTTTGACTGTGTCCCCACTCAAATATCACCTTGATTGTAAAAATCCCCACATGTCAAAGGTGGAGCCAGGTGGAGATAATTGAATCATGGGGTCGTTCCCCCATACTGTTCTCATACTAATGAATAAGTCTCACAGGATCTGATGATTTTATAAATGAGAGTTCCCCTGCAAAAGCTCTCTTGCCTGCAGTCATGTAAGACACGTCTCTGCTCTTTTTTCACCTTCTGCCATTATTGGGAGGCCCTCCTAGCCATAAGGAACTGTGAGTCCATTAAACCATTTTTCTTTATAAATTACCCAGTCTCAGGTATGTCTTTATTAGCAGCATCTGAATGGACCAATGTACTATATTTTCAAAGTTTGCAAAGTGAATATAAATTAGTTATACTTGAAAATAAAAAACATTAGTAGAATAATTAAGAGTTTACATGTAGTTAAATTTGCAATAGGAATGCTAAAATTCATGTTTGAAATGAAACCCTCTCTTGTCTACATAGGTTGTTTAAAGGAATCTGGGTCATACATGTGGATAGTTGTGCTCATGGGTAATATGCTTCGTGGAATAGGGGAGGCTCCCATAGCACCATTGGGAATTTCTTACATTGATGATTTTGCTACAGAAGGGCATTCTTCTTTGTATTTAGGTAATGTACACCAAATATTAAATTGTATTATCACTTTCCCTCTATCTAACTCTAAAATAGTAGAGTTACTAAACTTATTATTTTACCTTTTAGAACATATATTTGGGTATATGTATTGTATCGTATTTCTTCTGAAAACATGGTGAATAAGAACCATGCATTCTTGGCATCTGCTAAAATTGCTTTGTAATATTTTCAGGTATGTTGAATGCAATAGCAGTGATTGGTCCAGTCATTGGCTTTACATTGGGATATCTGTTTTCTAAAATGTATGTGGATATTGGATATGTAGATCTAAGTAAGTACAACCAGAACAAGGTACCATGATAATGTCTTTCTAAGCGTGCGTGCGCACACACACACACACATACACACACACACAAACATTTTTCTAAATAATTGAATTTACTTTTTCAATAGTTCTTTGCTTACTATAATTAGAAAGTTACAAGTAGGAAATAAATGCATTATTAGTCAGAATAAATATAAAATTCAGCTCCTATTTATACTATCTTTTACAACTAACTGTAACATGAGAGGATATAAACAAATTTATTTTCATGAGCTTGGTCCAAAATAACCAAATACAAAAAGTCTCCCTCCCCAATGACTAACCAGTCAAGTAAATTTGATTTTTCAGCTGATAGTGGTTTGGATGTTGATGTGTAGAACTTAAAGTTTGCTAAAGTCTTCTTGTGGCTGCTGCATTGACTTATGGCTGGAGTGGTTTGAGAGACTTCACTGTATACTTTATGATCATTTTCCCTGGTTCTAGCAGAGGACTTGGCTAATGGCAACATTCAGTAAATACTTGTTGAACAAAGGAATAAAGCAGAGGACACGTAAATAAAATCTATGATTTCTTCTTCATTCTCAGAGCATACTTTCCTTCTTATCTCATAGATGAAAGAGATGCCACATTATAAAAATTATCTCAACTTTAGGCCCCTTTTCCTGAAAATATTCTTGTACCATATCTATCTTTATCTTCTTCCCAACTCAGTGGAAAAATAGATCTACCTGGAGTTTAGAGTCTCTTCCTGATTCTTTGCCTCTACCTTCTCTTTTCTTCAGCACACACTCAAGTATTTCCCATCTTTATACATATCTACATTTTGAAATATTCCCACACAACTTTCTAGCTGATTCTTTTTTTTTTTTATTCCTCTTTGGAGCCACCCACCTAGGAAAATATCAGCTAAATTTGATAAGATAGCTCACCTTCTCACCTCCCATCCACTTCTTAATCTGGTATAATCTGCTTCTGTTATTAATGAAACCCAATCAACTTCTACATAATTTACTATAGATAGTAAATGAGTATACTTCTATCATTTGTGTTAATTGATATTTCTGGTTCTTCTTCATGTTTTCCCTTCTTAGATGTCTTACTAGCATCTAGGCACAATATGTCAAAATCTAATACCCTCATCTTAACTCCAAACCCGCTTGTTTCACTATATTCCTTCTCTTGATGAATATCTACACCTTATTCAATCATTGACCGAGTTACTGTGTCCTGTAATCTCACACTTCCCTGCATTTACACTTTGTAAAACTTTTCTCTCTTTTTCATTTGCATAGTTCTTGAAGTTTCTTCAATGTGGCTCTTGTTAGAGAAGTCTTACTTCACCACTTTCCATTGGTCCCAAATTAAACACCAAGAGCATGCCTTTATTGTGACTCTTCTCACAATTAGCTATTAATATTTGTGTGCTTACCTGCCATCTCTACCACATGACAGAATGTCATATATCTTAGCAAATAATAATTAGTTACATTTGTGAATAAATAAATATTATTTTCTATCTCACCAGGCCTTCAATAGATTATTCCAAAGAGATCAAAGGATTCATTTCTAAGTTGGGGTAGACATCACAGTGGGCCAACAGCAGCCAGAAACTGGAAAGTGTTTGCTAATCTAAAGCTATAAAGAAAACACTTGATATAATGTTTTATATGTTCAATTTTAGACATATCTCTTAGAGTAGCTACACATTATGTAAATTATTTCTACTCATTCAACTCCAGTTTCATCATTGCTTTGTCACAAAGAGTACAGAAATAAATGATAAATACTTTTAGGTTAATGATTTTATGACCTCTGTATTCAGAAATGTTTACATTATTTTAGAATTTATCACAATTTCTAACATTGCATGTTCAGATATTATTATATCTTCTCTTATTCAGGGATGATTATGAGCTTCACTTATTAGAAAGTATACTTTGGCAAACTCCAATGCCTAAAATAGCTAAAGAGATAAAATAAATGAGTAAAGAGTGTCAGGAACAGGAATTAAGGGTGCGATGGTTAGAAGAGGAAGAATTTTCTGATTATGAACTGCTCTCCCCACACATACAAAAGCCCATGTGTTCCTCAGCTCTGGCCTATTCTTTTAATGCACAAATTTAGGCCCTGAATTGACAAGGACTTCTGATTAGTTTCCAAGAAAATCCCAAAACCAAAATTTTTACATAGAATTTTTCAATTTTTAAGACTGTGAGTGAGCCAAGAAAAACTTTTTCTCAGGTCTTATCTAGTGAGATTATGACCCTTAGTTGTTATGTGTAGAACAGTGAAAGAACAGAAAAAAAAAGTAATCAAAATCACATTGTGACAGGTGATGAATATTTTGCATGTAGATGGGAGTCCCTGATTTAACCAATCATTTCCTGAAGTCTGTCTGAGTTGCTGATTATGACACAATATGATCATATAAATCAAATTTAAACCCAAATATGTGTAACTTGAAAATAAATTATTTCTAGATAGTTTTTCATCAAGTCAATATTATCTGAGATTAATGAATTTTCTTATAGATCAGAGTAATGGCACCATATAATTGTGCCACAGACTTCTATGGTGTGTGTGTTTCTGTATGCATATGCTTTTTTTATTTGTTATTTTTCTTTTATTGTAGTAAGAACAATTAAAATAAAATCTACCTTCTTAACAGATTTTGAAACATACGGTGGACCCAGGAACAATAGGTTTAAATTACCCTGGTCCAAATCTGCATAGATTTTTTTTCAATAAACATATTGAAAAAATTTGGGGGGATTTGTGACACTTTGAAAAAAATTGTAGATGAATTGCATAGTGCAGAAATATAGAAAACCCTAAAAAAAAGGTATGTCATGAATGTATAAAATATGTTTAGATACAAAACCATTTTTTCATTTACTACCATAAAATATACACAAATCTATTATAAGAAATAAAACTTGTTAGATGGTACAAGATGGCCAACTAGACACACTCAGAAAGCATCACTTCCACTGAAGAAGCCCAAAATATTGAGTATACTAATGTACTTAGAACATTTTTTTTGAGAGAAAGCACTGAAAGTCAATAGAGAGGTGACAGAGACACTGAGGCTAAAGAGAGCGAAAGTTGGAAACCCTGTGCAGGGTTGTTGAATACCAGAGATAGTTTCCAGCCCTGAATGGCTTCTAGCTAAGGGGTGAGTAAAGTGGCAGTGGGACAGCCTACTCTTACTGCTGACATCTGGGATCCTAGTACAAGAGAACTCACGACCCCCGAAGACTTTGGAACATGCATGGGCATCTGCCCAGAGAGTAGGCAGAAACAGATCTACAATCAGCATTGAACCCAGGGTGGTTTGCATGTTGGGTAGCTGCAGCAGAATGCAATCATAGGCACCAAATATTTCAAGGCTCATTTTCTTCCACCAGGTAGCTCTCAACTCACCTGATCACTGAGCCAAAATTGCGCACGGCCAACTTTCCTGTGAGCTGGGACACAACTGTATTGTAGACTCTTCTGCCTGCCAGTCTCTCCCAGTACTCTTGCCTGGCCACACCTGCAAGAACATGTGCACAGCGCAACCTCCACTGCTCAGCCTGAGGTTTTTTCCAGTACCCCCACCTGAGTACTTCCTTAGTACTTCCTCAGTGTCCTTGGAGCACTTCAGATCCCCCAGTGTAGGAAACAGAGAGACCAGACAGTGGAGCCAAAGGATAGACCCAAAGCCTCAAGGTTGCAGTGGATAGCTATGGAGTGCAAGCTAAGATTGGTGCCCAGCACTGAAGCAGAGGAAGAGCCCCCAATCTGAGAACACTGAGATGGGGGAGATGCATGGGTTCATGGGCCAGTGCAGAATGAGACATGCCTCTTTTCATAAGCCTAGTCCAGGAAAACTATGTCCTGTCTGCCTGCTGCTGCCTCTGCCTGAGGGAGCTCCATGGCCCAGAACACCTAACAAAGGAAACAGGAATGTGGTACCAGTGGCCAGAGGGGGTTCCCCCAAGGCCCAGGAGTGGGCCTGTTAACGGGGTCATCTCTCTCTTCTGCTATGACAGGCACTGTTGTAAACACACTGAAAAACAAAAGAGCTATGCCCTTGAGTAACAGCTTATCTGCCAGCCACTACTCTTAAGCACTATTTACTGAATCAGAGCTCAATTTAAAACATATATATATATTTTATTTATTTATTTATTTATTTATTTTGAGATTGTGTCTCACTCTGTTATTTAGGCTACAGTGCAGAGAAGCAACCATAGCTCACTGCAGCCTTGAACTCCTTGGCTCAAGATATTCTCCCACCTCAGCCTCCTAAGTAGCTGGGACTACAGGCGCTCACCATGACACTTGGCCAATATTTGTTATTTTCTGTAGAGACAGGATTTTTTTATGTTGCTCAGGCTGATCTCAAACTTCTGGTCTCAAGTGATCCTCTCATTTTGGCCTCACAAAGTGCTGGGATTACAGGCTTGAGCCACTGTGACTGGCTTCAAAAATAGTTTGCCAGCATACATTGCCTGTGAAACTGAGAACAAGAATCTAGCTACAAATAAGAATCTTGTACAGAGTCTTATCCCTGTGAAGATACACAGAAATTAACCCAACTGACCATACTCAATTTTTACCACTGTTAAAGGAACACCAGCCCTTCAAGATGAAAAAGAATCAATAAGAAATCTGGTAATTCAAAAAATAAGAATGTACCCTAACCTCCAAATGGAGTGCGCTAGCTCCCCGGGAATTGTGGTTTCTTTCTGTAAAGAAATCAGACCTATGATCCATTGGAATTCCTGAGAGAGAAAAAGAGAGAGTAAGAAACTTGTAAAACATATTAGCAGATCTAGTCATCATATGATGCTAGTTCATGGGTAATCATCTTCATCAAGTCATCTTCTGTTAATTTCCCTGATGAGGTATGTATTAGCTCTTGAATTTCTCCAATACCTATATCTTGAAATTTTTTACAACCCACGTTTTTTTTCAATATCCATAATCTCTTTCATAATTTTCTTGATTAGCCATGTTGT